GAAAAACAAATGATCGTCAGATAACCCCCCACTCCTAAAAAAAAGTTGTTATAATATGGTAGGAAACCTCAGGCGGAAACTTCAGAGCCGCAGCTCATTTATTTTTTTATTCTCGAAACGGTGAACAATCAAAATCTCAGTGGGACACGAAAGTACATGGTTGGAGGATTACGTCAGTGTTGTGTGAAAGGTAAGTGAGAATTTTTTTTCGATAAAAATGTATTTTTGTGTATAATTTAAGCGTATTTAAAATATTTTTGTCGTTAAAAAAAAGTTTGACATTCCACAAAGAACTATTATGGCTCGAGAGGCAAGTGGAAGAGGTGGGAAGGAGCTACGATTATAAAAAAATTTAGTTTTTTTACATAAAAAATATCTGTCACACTTCAAATTTGTCTTTTTTTATTCAGAAATTTTTTTTCTAGCATTCTTTAAGTCTTTAAAGTCCTTCTGTACCATTTAAAAATTACCAAATTTGCGGCGACGAAATTAAGTATTTCTATTTAATTAATAATTATCTCATATTTTTTTCTCATTCGCACTACTTTTAGCTTTAATTTGCGTGTTTGATCATTAAGCTTCGTCAATTTGTTCGTGAGTTATAATTTTAAATAAAAGTTATTTTTTAAATAAAACGAGTCGTAAAACGTGTGTTTGTCAACATATAATTGTTGTAAAAAAATATTTAAATAAATGATTTCTAAATGTTCTTTACATTAATTTTTAGTCGAAGATACAAAGATATTATAATAATTTTGGGGGAATTTTTCAAAGCTTTAACATTTTGAAAAACGCGTGGGACTCGAAAGTGCATGGCTGGAGGACTGATGTGCCAGAAAATACGTTGGAGGGATTAGTGTTAATCTTGAATACATGTTCAAGCAATTTTTTCATAATTATTATTCTTTAATTATCATTTTTCCGTAAATTACGCTGGAAAAATGGTTATTAGCAATACATGTTTTTACAGGATTAAATGTGACCAATAATTGAAAAAATTGAAAATGCCGGATAAGCGTTATCTTTTTATTATTGGTTACTCTGTTTGCTATCAAACTTAATAATATTCGTCTTTAAATAATTTCTTATAAACCGTTCACCTTTCCTATTAATACTTCTTTCAAGTATCAACACAAACAAAGGCATAGGTGATCTAAGGATGTTTCATATTTATTTCTTTAAGACAACAATCTTGTCTTTTTATTAATTTCATAAACTTCGAAAAATCCAAATGAGAACCGCAAATACGCTAAGTCTATTAGCTATATCATGTGTCACGCAGAATATATCCTATATATTCTTACAGTTTTAAAGGCACCTAGTTACAAAAACTTATTTCGAAAATAATATTAATTTCCGAAAAAGATAAATTGCTTCGTTTAATGTCCTGCAGCCTTTAACATAATTCTATACACATTATTCTTTAAATAGTTAGATTTAATTATATTTTTTCTTTAATGTTTTTAGAGAAGTTTTCGAAAGAGAAATGTACATTCTACAGATTAATATTTTATTTATGTATTAATATCTTATTTAAGTAGCCGGTCATTTATAGCGCAATCGGCAGAGAAAAATAAATTTATATATTTTTGTTGATTCTACATAAGTAGTTATAAAATTGATTTAATTCCTTCATGGAATGAGAGAAATTTGAATAGTTTTGTTAATTCTTTTGGGATATATATATTATACATATATATATACATATATATATATATATATATATATATATATATATATATATATATATATCAATTTACTTTTTAAAAATTATCTAGCGAACTAGATTGTAAAAGAAGTTAATGCTTAAAGGGGATGCTGGAGCCGTCTGTTTTACCGGCATTTTTTGTCAGCACGTAGCGTCGTATTAATTTGACAGAATTAAAAATCCTTCTCCAGAATTGCAATACATACATTAATGATTCGGGGGAACTCCGATTTTATATAGAAAACGAGAAAAAATTACGGAAGTACAGATTTCCTTATCCTACTTTTATCCCAATATGGCGTCTGGAGTTGCGGCGAGCTGTCAGCTCGTCACAAGATGTATTTCATATAAGAGATATATACCATTGGTACACGAACGGGAAAACAAGTTCCCCCGAATTGCACAACAAGAAAAACACCGATAAACCCGCCAAATCAAGATTTAGAAGCGTAATATAAAAGTATAATGTCGATGTGCATCGTGCGTATGTGTGCGTGCAATGTAGCGTGCTATCCTTGTCCTATATCTTTGTCTATACAAGGACAGATATAGTCGATAACATAGAAAATGGTAATTTTGTCGGTTATACAGACGGCTCCAGCATCACCTTAATAAAAACGAAATATCCACATTTATTTATAATTAATTTTCAAACAGTTATTTTATCTTCTTTTTTGTAATTGATTTGGCAGATAGTCATTTTTTTGCTTGAAATAGTTGTTTAGCGAAATATTAAGGCAAACTATATTAAGGCTCTTATTAGGCTGTTTCCATTATCACGTAAGATTAATTGTGACGTCAGAAGCGAGAAATGACACGCTGAGAATTCTTGCGTGCCACTTCCAAATAAAAAGATATTTGCATAAAATAAGCACTTCATATCACTTCAGCGGTCTTCAGCGAGGTGCTCATGATCTTTACGTCTGCTATTTACTACCAATAATGTTACCAATTGACAATATTTTAGATTATATGCATAATAATCGTGCACACATTCCTGCATTCATACTGCATTATTTTCTGAAATTGTATTACAGATAAAAAATCCTGGAAACATCGGAAACATTGATAAGACGCATTATTAATATCCAATTTAGATATCAAGATAAGTAATAAGCAGTCTATCAAGTCGATATTTGCGGGATTTTTTATCTATAATACAATTTCAGAAAATAATGCAATAAAAATGCAGAAATACGTATGTGTACGATTACTATGCATATAAACTAAAATATTCAACATGGTTTCTATCGTGGAGAAACGAAACATATTCATACATGTCAATAAACTTGCTTTAGGCAAATATTTCAGTCCTATCATTAGGACGTCTTTTTTCTAGTGAGCCCACAGCAATAACCACCGCATAAGATATGGTACCGGTACTTTGAAGGAATGTATTATATATTATACAGCTCTATCTCCGGACCTTCCCATACACTTTGTAAATGTGCGGACATAACAACTTTTTTTGGTACTAAAAAAACATGTCAATAAAAATTAACCCTTAGCTGGCACACTTCACCAGAATCACATAACTGGCACACTCGGGCCGTTTCAGACCCTACCACTAAAATATGCTTGCTGCTAGGGAGCTATTGATTTTTTTTACGTAAAAAAATTCCAAGATAGTCTTCGAATGTTGTTTTAACAAATGTGTTTTGATAAAATGTAATATTAAGTATGAAAAGAATTGGAGAACGTATAAAAAAACGAAAAAATGACTGTTTTCACTCAAAAATTCATGACTTTTATATTTTAACTCTTCCATTTTTTAGTACCATTTTCGTACTTTAGGGGGGCTTAAATTAGAGGTGAACTAGGGTGGGGCATTTAATACCCCACAGTGCCAGCTAAGGGTTAAATATATATTTTATTTTAGTTTAACTGAAGTAATTTCTAAGAAAATATTGTCACTTTATGTGTAAAGATATTTTATTTCTCTTTCATTAACGTTCTATTTCTTTGCAAATTTTTATTAGTTTTATCACTAATATCATTAATAATCAATCGATTGTCATTGTTTTTATGTAAATAAATATTAATGCAAAATGCATACAAATAGTGTTTAAATTTTTATCGTAGCAGATTATCCAAATTTGACAGATGAAATGTCTTGGCAAGGAAACCACTGTAGAACATATTATCTGAAAAAATTGGACTTTTATATATACATTCTACATTCATGTAAAAAAATATCATTGTTTAGCCAGTATACCTTGTTGTTGTTAGACAATAGGAAAGAATATAAACCGCCTCAGCAGTTTGCGCAGGTGTTAGTTAGAATATAGTGCAGGAGAGTTTGGTCTTGTTTCATATTCAATTTGAATTTTACATCTGAAAGTATCGTATTGTGGGTGTATTCAGTTTTTACATCGATAACTTTAGATAGATGTTTCTCTAAAAATATCTTACAATTCTTATATTTACTCAGAGTTACATATGTAATTGTTCTAAATCTGTATGTAATCTTAATGCCATTTATCGTTTAGTTCGTTTCCACTAGACATTGTCAATCTCTTATGAAAAAATACACTCAACTTTGATGGTTAACACCCAAGTGTTAACACACAAATTTAGGGGCGTAAGTTTAGTGTTTGTTATCAAAGTTAAGTGTCAACACTTAACTTAAATTTAGGTGTAGATTAAATATTGACCATTAAGGTTTAAGTAAAGTTGTGGGTTTAACCTTTAATGATGAGTGTATATTGGGAGTTTATCCTCAATGATAAGTGTAGCTGAGGGATTAAGCCTCAATGACTAATGTAGGTAGGAGATTAAGCCTCATCATTGGATGTTGATTTGGTGTTATCCCAGACAGCACAAAATATTTATTAATATTTATTTTCCAAATATATGTAGTAAATATTTTATAAAGATTTTTCATACAGATTTTGGAATAATACAAAAATACTAACAATATATAAAATATATTTTAGAAATGTATTGAAAAATATTTCTTGTATATAAACTGAGATGTTTTTTTATATCTTTTGGCAATATTATGTAAATATTTATTATAAACATTTTGATTCATGTTAGATATATCTCTATAACAAATATTGTAATATTTTTGGAAATATTAAAAATACATTGGTTAAATATCCCAAGTAGCAAAGAAATATTTTTTAATTTCTATATCGAAAATTTCTCGAAACCGAGCTGATTTCGATATCGAAAATTTTTCGAAACTGGGACCGTCTGAATCTCGAATCGATGTTGAATTTTGAGGACATATTTTCGATATTATTTTTTGACCACTTATTTCTCACTGGGTAACATACAAGTATTAATGTTAATTCATCACGTCCTTAAAAACGACCTCCAAACCTAAATATATGTATGCATACCATGCAGCTATGTATATACCATACGCTGGTGCGCAAAAAAATGTACATACACCTGAAACGAGAGGAATGGCTAAAAACAGTTTTCGCAGTCTTCGCCCTGGTATTTTTCTGCGCTCATTGTGTGCCTTAATTTTCAAAAAAGTATCATCCATGTCCTATATTGTAAAAGAAAAATTATTTATGATGAAATGGATATTCTATATGAGAAAGAAATAAATAAATCAAGTTGCAAATACTTAGAAAAAAAAACTAGCAGTTAATTTAATGTGCATAGTTACTTTAATCAATTTTTCCATATATATTTGACTAAATTCTTCTCCGCCCATTTTTCGTTTATTTTGGAATTGACGAAGAGCTGTGTCCATACAGTGTTGATGTACGAATTCTAAGTGAGCGGTCGTTAAAAACGATCTCTCTTCGAACACCTCGTCCATCATCTGAACGTATAAATCATTAGCCTCTGCTACAGCGGTTAAATTGTTAACTTCTGCTGTGGCCTGTATATGCAAAACACGGATTACTGCGGTTTAGATGAGTGGTTGTTCCAGTTGAATGATCGACTTGGAAATAAAAACCGCGAATTATAAAAACCGCTAAAATTATACATACCACAAACACGCTTTTCGGTTCGGGAAGTTCATCTCCCTTGTATAGATTGATGTAACTCTTAAAATATTCCAACAGATCTTTCGCTTTCACGACTTGGCCGTTGATCTTCTTGGTCACCAGATTTTCCGGCGCCAGTATCATCGGTATGAGCACTTTCAACTGTTTTTTGAACTCTGCCTTTATCTCGGATAATCTACCGTCGAATCTCGGATTCGTCGCGATCTCGAGACCGGGATGCGGCATGAGGAAACACGATATGTCCGAAAAGCAGGACTTAATGTGCTTTCGCAAGCTCTGTAATTCCGGATGCTGCCTGTCGGAAATCTCCAGTCTGTTGTCGAGCAATTTCTTTCCGCCGTTTGCACCGTAATCGGCCTCGTACGGATAAACCCAGTCTCTGACTAAAAATTGCAATCTTTGGAAGGGCGTGCTCTCGGAGCTTTCCAGCGCCAGTCTACCGTACTCGGTGAACAATTGTAGGTGCTGAAGATCATCCTCCTGAATATTTTGCGACAGATTGTATATTTGCACGGAGGACAGCATCGTACTCAACGCGAACACGGTCGCGCAGTCCCGTACTGTCGACTGACTGTCGAAAGTGCCTTGAGTGTCCATAAGAATCACAGCGATTTTTTCACCGTTCGCCAAAGTAGCAGGATAAACCTTCGACCACATCAATATTCCCGTGGTATCCCTCTCGGAACCTCCCCTCCATGAAAAACCACTAAGTGGCTCGTCCTCGGCACCCAACCAGGAATCAGTATCGTTTTGTAACGTGTACTGTGATTAATGTGATAAATTATTGGTAGTCATTCAATAATTGAATTGTGTCGATCAATGATGATCGTGCGTATGAAATAATACGAACTTGATAAATATCTGATTATCTATGTATTCTTTTTTTATTTTTTTATTTAGATATTGATGATTAAAGTAACAAAACACTAGTTATCAAATCTGTGAATAACACTTACTTTGTTGTTCATATAACGAAGAAAAAAGTCAAGAAGGAAACTTTTGCCTTTTCTGAAGGCACCCGCAACAGATACCACAACTATATTTCTATCTTTCACGTCGTCATGTAGGAGAATTTCTGACAATGCAGCTTCATCTAATTCGAAGGTATGATCTGAATGGGCAAGTACCACTTGCACAGGTCGCCCACCATCCATCAAGTCCATGTCTTGCATTTGTGCATCTATCGGCGAAAGCCTTTCTATCCGATCAAACTTTCCTAATAGGTGATCTGCAAAAGAAAATTGGATTAAAATCTCCATTACAAATAATGGATAATAATTAATAATAATAATGCAGATAAAAAATATTGAATTATTGGAAAAATGAATCAAGAGAAAAAAATCTATTTCATTATTTTATCTTCAATATTAATGGAGCATCTGACAAATAAATTTTACTTGTTTTAAATTACAAAATTAAATCAGTGTCATCGATATTCCGTTTCTCAAAAGGGTATGTGGATATGGACGGATAGGAAATTATACATAGTCGGCTATCAGTCTAAAAATCGTTAATTGTAGACGTTCGTTCGTTTGAAAAGCACATGAACGATCGGCCCGTATACGAATCTGAGGGTGTAAGATATGTCCCGCGAAAAAAAGTTAAATGTGAACTTTATATGGACCATAATAAAATCTCCATTTAAATTTTATTTGATTTAAACTAATGCTGAATAACTGCATTAATATATGGCTTATATTTGTTCTATATATAGAACTTAATTAAGAATATAAGAAGAAATACCGATATACATTTTGATTAAAAATCTCGAACATATGTAAAAAAATTCGTAATTTATTGTATATCCCCGCAGGGTTCGCAATCTACTACCAATACTATCCTTCTCCTCTCACTTTAATCCTTTGGACCAACGGCTTAATGTTTCTTTTCGAAAGACGGAGCCCAGTTTTCTCCGCACAAGAGCCTATCTTGCACGGAGGGGCGCAGCTATCGAAAAAACATTCCATGCTTTATGGCTCTAGTGGACTCGAATGCGAATCTGGTTTCTCAGATTACGAGTCTGGCGCTCTATCAGTAGATCACACTGCCGCCCTTATCTCGAACATATGTATACACGTATATTCTTAATCGTACATATGTTTCGTAGTATACAAAGTATATATACGTACTTCTTGTAGTATTATTTTATCATCAAAATATTTGTATTTAATTTGGCTTAATAAAAATTTAATTAGCTAATATATTTAATTTAAATTTTAATTTTATTGCCACATATGTAATTGATGATTTAGCGACGCGACGCTGAATATTTTGATAAAAATCATTTATTTAATATTTTATTTTTAATGAACTTTGAATAAGAATAAGGGAAAAGACTAATTTCAGCAGCGTAGATCATAGAATTAAACTGCACATTATCTTAAATGTATTCGAGCATGAGAACGAAGAACTCGTACTTTTCTCAAGGTTCGACTGAAACCTTTCCGTTTTCATCATTTCCTGAAACTGCCCTCAAGCTATAGACATTCGCGGCGAAATTCTATGGACGAAGTTACCCCGGACATTCGAATGTTCGTAGAAAGTACATCGTCAATCGCAGTACGTAATGCGATTGTAGCAATATACTTTTGCGATAATCTCAGATCGTTTTCAGATTCTTCCTGTGCTGTGTGGGCTATTAGGTTATACGTTTATTCTTGAATCTATTTTTGTCATTGACAACCACAAATCTGCATGTTTATTATCCGATATAATGTATGTGTATATAATCTATATATTCTATATCTATATATATATAATAGAATGTCTGTATGCCTGTTCTTTATACACTCTTAAACTATTCGACCGAATTTTTACCAAAAGTATATAAAATTGGGGTAGAATTTTCCGGGGAGTGTTATAGAGTGTATAGTTTTTCGTTACCGATCTTTTTGGAAACCGGTATCCAAAATTTTTCTAATTTTTCGGGAAATAATTGACCGAATCTTAAAGAATTGTATATGAAAAAAGGGTGGAATTTTCGGGGAATGCTTTTAAATTAATTTACCGATTTATCGATTTAGTTAAAACCGGTTCAAAAATTTTATTAATTTTTTGAGGATGAGTTTAATTGCCACGATGTGTATTGTTTTTCGATAACAATTTATTTTTTTATGTAGGATAAGTTGCTGGTTTCACATATTATAATGTCAACTCACGGTCACTTCAATTCGTAGCCCAGTAAAATGACTGTGTAAACTGTAAAATGACTCCGTAAACTGACTCTGTACACTCTGTAAACTGCCTTGCACGACTGCGCACCGCGCGCCGCATACCGGCTTCGGACCCTTCTCAATCTTTAGTACCTACATACAGTACTATCGGTTCTAAAAATATCAGCCTAGTACTAAACGATTCAGAAAGACCCCAAGAATAACTTCTGACACTTCAATAAGTACAGAAAAATTGTTAAGGACACGTTTTTTCATCATTTCAGGCGACTCATAGTGATGATCTGCTACATACGTAAACTTACCTGTCTTTTGAAACGCCAGTTTCCCATCACGATGCATTCAAAATTACATGCCATAAACTCTATTTTATAGGAAATTTTGTCAGCTTTAATTTCGGTCTGTTAAAGTTTTTTCGTAAAGTTAATAGAAACGAAGATATTTACAAAAAAACGAATGCTAATGCAATTTTTCCACAATTTATCAATAATACAGCAATATTCACAAACTTTTTCTTTTTTAAATAAAACATACTTTGCGAAGGACTTATACTACTCTAGCACGTTCATATATATATGTAGTAATGAAAACAAAGTAAAATAAATTTTTGAAAAATTATTATCCATATATTTTTGGACTAAAATGTTAATTTAACAAAAATTGATTTTTTTCTTTAATATTTAAACGCCTGTAACTCATCAACGTTTCAATGAAAAAAGGTCTACAACGTCTCATTTTAAAGATAATTAAAATATCTTCAAGAAAAATACATAACATTACTGCCTCCAACCAATCAGAAAAAGTTATTTTCCAAAATGCACCCAAAAATGACATTTTTTCATGTTTTTTGCTCTTAACTTCAAGCTATCTTTACTAAAATGGATTCATGCATACATCAACATGTTCAAAATTTTATTCTCTTCAACTTTCATTATACATACTATATGTGTACGACCTATACTTTAAGAATTAATACTGATTTTAACATGCAAAACATCCAGTCAATAAATATTTTTGCTTGATAAGCTATTGCCTGATAAAGGAATTTTTTTCGATTAAGGATATTAAAATACAAATGAAGTCGTTTGAAGAAAAACGACTCCCGGGCGAAGCTACCGAAACATTGGCCGAGTACAAGCATAAACCAGCTATTCCAGAAGAAGTTTATAATGCAAGTTTATAATGCAATAAAGCCAATTTACGAGGAGCTAAGTAGCAACGACTTTCTCACTTGCTGCCCCGGTGGTTTTACTCAAAATAACGAGTCTTTCAACTGTAAGGTCTGGGCGATAGCTCCAAAAACCGTATCCAGCGGTAAAACTATTGTGGATACAGCAGCAGAGATTGCTGTATGTGAATTTAATGACGGTTTAATTAGTGTAATACATATTATGCAAGTATTATGCATTACAATTGGGTTCTCAAGTAAAATTTTTTTATTAAGCGGTATCCATAATTAATGTAGAGAATCTAAGCCGATTTTTAATACTTTTTGAATTTAAAAAAAAAACCTAAATTTGAGAAAGTTATAGCTTTCTAAAGTTTCTTTGATGACGGCAACTTCAAAAGATTTCGCAACAACATTATGACGTCACGCACATTTTCGTGTACTATATTTTCTTCAATTTTGAAGATATTGCAAAAATTCAAAAAGTTTACAAAGAAAGTATGCCATGATCTATCAGAATATACTGTTGGGTAAAAGTCGGTTAAAGACCGAATTGGGCCGAATTGCTACAATTACTGCAACGAAACTGACGCGCGCCGTATCAACTTTTCCGAGCAATCTCTGACTGAGGCCGCAAGAGAAGCTCGACAGGCTTTAAAAGCAATTAGAAAAGTAGCAGAGGAGGAGAATGTTAATTTGGAAGGCCAAATGTACGCTCCAGGCATAGCAGAATGAAGGTATATCAAAATTTTACATCTGTGAATGGTAACTGAAACTTTAAACGCGTTTTTCTCGAAATCGCTTTTTTAAAATCGGGCGGAATCAGAACTCGAACACCTTTTATCCGATTGACTTAAAATTTTGAGTGAAACTTTACAATAACATTATCTTTAGAAGTACATGTGGATTTTGCGATAAGTTGAACAAAACTTTTTTTATAAACAATTTTGTGCGAAATTTTTTAGCGAAAAATGAAACACTTTTTTTTCAACATGCACCATTCTTACAAAAAATGATATTTCGCAATTCCCACACGTACTTTCATAGAAAAACTTATATATTTTTCAAAAATCTTTGAATTTTTGTTCCAGCTCAGAAATTATAGGAGCTTCGATTCCGCCCGTTGGACGCCTTTCGCAAAAAGGCACTTTGGATCAATGGCTCCGGCGCCGCCATTTTGTCAATAAATAACTAATAAAAATTTTTTTTATACTTTAATATATAAATAACAAATAGTAGAATTAAACCGATTTTCATTTATGATTATTGTATTTCTGAAAAAAATTATCAAAAATTGGCTTTTTTGGGACTCTAGAGTGGCGTTACTCCTTAAGATCTGAAGAAAAATTTGGTGTAAAATATACTAATTACGTCGGTGATGGTAATTCGAAAACTTTTAAAGCACTTCTGGATTTACAACCTTATGGCGAAAATATAATATTAAAAAAAAGTGAATGTGTCGGACACGTAGAAAAAAGAATGGGTACTCGATTGAGAAATATTAAAAAAGTAGCGAAACTTGGAGGAAAAGAAAAATTGACAGACGCACTTATAAAAAAATTAACAAAATACTATGGATTGGCGATAAGAAGGCATTCAGATTTCGTAAGTGCCATGAAGAAAGCCCATAATGGCTACTTATTATCATATGTGTTCGACTGAAGAAAATCCACAACATGAATATTGTCCACCGGGAGATGAAAGCTTGTGTAAGTGGCGAGTTGCAGAAGCGACTGGAAAACTTGACAAGTTTGAGCATCGGCCTGCTTTTTATAAAAATGTTCAACATCATCTGTTGCCAATTTATAAAGATCTGTCCGGAGACGATTTATTAGAAAGATGTTTAGGTGGATACACTCAAAATTGTAACGAAAGTTTCAACGCATGCATTTGGCGTCTAGTTCCGAAACATCTCCACTCGAAGACTATTGAAATTGCTGCTTATCTGGCTACCGCAATATTTAATGAAGGTTATTTTTCAATATTAAAAATTATGGAAATAATGGGCATTGTTATTGGACAACAGAGCAAGACATTTGCCGAATCTCATAATGAGAAACGACTATTTAGTACACACCGTCATAGTTTAGAAATCACTATAAAGAGGCTCGTACAGCCAGAAGAATGGAGAAAACAGTACTGCAAGACTTTTTCGAAGAAGAAGAAGGTTTAATGTATGGGGCCGGAATAGCATTGCAGAATAAACGTTCAAGTCGATTTTTCAACGGTAAGTATTGTGAAATTTTATCTAAAACTTTAACCCTCAGGGTACGGACTATAAAAAAGTTACGTTCCGTACGGACATGGGTTAGCCTAACCCGGCGACTTTGATTGACTGTATATCGGGCTGTAATTTGTCAATTGAAACGAATTTTTTTTTGGATCAAAAATTTTCTCAAAAATACAATGGCGTTGATAGATTTATTACATTATTTGTTTAAACAAAGATACATTTGAAAATGTAAACAAATCTCAAAAAATTTTCATAAAAATTCATTTTTTCTTTTAAATTGCATAACTTTATGAAAAAAAAGATATCGACATTTTATAAATCGCGTTTGAAAGCTAAAAAGTTGTTCTTTGAAATGACTGAATTCGTTTTTTGCTTTCAGATAACCGGGAGGAACGTTACAACGCCCGCCAATAGACGGAAAATCGTAGAGAGGGGTCCAGATTATTTATTATATATTAAAATTAAATAAAGCTAATTAAAAATAACTAAAATTTTTTGATACCTTAAGAATGCCTCTTTTTATTCCAAAAAGTTTTATTTGGCTATCATTAATAGTTTTCTAGAAAAAAATTCTTAAAAATCGCTTATTTTTTGGCCGGTTACACTAGAATCCCCCCTTAACGCTGTCTACGGAGGTTACGCGGAGTCTGGAGACTCCGTTCACTCTCCCTACAATTAGCAGATTCGACGTCGCATAGCTGGATAAAACCTCGAAATTTCCTCCTTAGACTCTCAGCACGTTTTTGCCAAAATCTCGATGGAGCTTCCGTACACTCTATTTCCGTAAGCCTTCGTGCACCCTCTGTAGAACCTATTCTCAGAGGTCATCGAGAACCCTTCTTAGACCCTAACATTTTGTAGATATTAATCTCCCAGGTAGCAAGATGACGTTTAAAAACGTCGTCATTTGACGTCACTCTGCTACCTGGGTATCCTCACCTCGTGGCTGCGATATAGATGTAAAAGGCTCGAATAATCGCGTACTAATAATGATTGATGCTGAAATTTAGTATTTGAGAAGTACTTATAGCCTGCGTTTGTTTATTCACATTGGAAGCTATTGGAAAAATAAAATCTATAATACACGTTACGTGTATTATAGAGAATAAACGTACGCAGGCATAGTCAAATCAATGTCAATTATTGTTAAAATTAAGCGTCAAGACATCGTCTCGAGGCCGTAATTAAACAAAAATATAATCATATCTCTTCCATACATCGCAAAAATATGACAAAGAAGGGAAATTAATGAGGCGCATAAATAAATAAGACTAGTGATAAATATAAGATACATTCAATAATGTATTAGCAACGTTTAGACGAAAGTATAATTAATATAAGTATATTAATATAAGTATAATTAATATAAGTATAATTAATATAAGTATAATTAATATTATTCGACAGTATAGCTCTAATTTTATATTTTTATAATACTTAGAAATTAATTTCTTGTTTCAAGCTATATGATCAAATTGTAAGTATTGTAAATATATAACGCAATTGTAAGGGATACTAATTATAAGGGGTCTAAATTATATAAAGGGTAATTACATACATCAGAAAGAATTACAAAAAAAATTTAATACATATTTCTTATGACTGAAATAATAGTAAAGTAATTTGATAATTTTAGACTGGACATTATGTGACTGGAACGGTGCTAAGATTACCG